TCTTAGCCTATAATGCAGGAGTTAACACTGTCCAGACTGATGACAAAATGGATATTGGCAAAACACACAACTATGCCAATGATGTGGATGTAAGAGCCAGGTTTTATAAGAAAAATGGATATTGAAATCTGAGTAATTATTAGATCTGAGGCCCTGATTGCATACTTTGTTTCTAATTAAAAACATTCGGAATTTCTCCTCCAGAAACAATAAAAATCAGGCAGGACAACAAAGCCAGGAACAAGAACAAACTTGCAATGGGTTTTTTTCCAGCTAAGGCTAAAAAAATAACTTAAAAGATAACATGGCTAATAGTCCAAAATGAAACTTACCTTTAATTTTCATCTTAATTCATGAGAATATTCAGAGTTTTCATCTGTGGCTGCAGTTTCTCAAGCAGCAGATTAATGCTGCAAGGAAGTTGTAACACTACTTAACAAGATTTTACCTGCCTTTGGTTTTATCTGTCGATACAGCTGTACAAAATAGCAGCACTGGCTGTCAAGAGAGGCTGAGCTGTCCCTGTCAGAGGCTTTGAAGACCCAACTGCACAAAGCACTAAACAACCTCATCTGGCCTCAGTACTGGCCCTGTGTTGAGCAGAAGGCTGGACTAGAGACCAAAAAGGTACTTTCCAATCAGAATTTTGCAATCATCTTAAGTCAGTCTGCTTGTTCCCTACACAAAAAGGCAATGTCTCTTATGTGTGCTTCACATGGAGCATTACAAAGCTCCACTACTGAAAGGGTGTGGACACACACTGTATTTGTGCACATTGCTGGTTCGGGTTTTAGGGTTTGAGAGCAAATCTTGAGAGAATGTATGCTCATAGAGAGAAGGCTTGGGATAGCAGATTAACAGTGGGGGTCCTTGGGGGAAATACCATTTCAGAAACACCCAAACGTTCACATATTTTCTTTTCATTGGAACTGTCAGCTTGTCAATTAAACATCTCTGTTAAGATCTCTTGCAGCTGGATCTTATTCAGAAATAACAGGTACTATGTATTTTCCCTTCTACGTGGGAGCCTGCTATTAGCTCTGCTTGAGCTTCAATAGTTTATCAGACATTTCTTTAGGTTTGAACGGTACCAAGCCTTTCATCAACCCAGTCCCTCTGGGATACCTTGCAGCATTTTTGTAGATCCATAGGCAAATCCATCTGCAGAGCGTGTGGGACAGACCTGGCAGGGCCCTCTGCTGGAAGCTCCCCAGGCTGCAGTTCCACGGACGTGAATCCCGAACGTGCCTGGCAAGGCTGAGCCAGCCTGGCCCTGGTGATCCGGCCACAAAGACTTATTATTTCCTATCCAGCAGCAAGATCCATTTGCCTAATTTTTTGTGTCCTAGTACTTGCACCATCTCTTTAAAGAATGCCCTATGCCTTGGATGCACTATGCATGTCCTTCAAAAGGGCTCAAATTCCAACTTGTACCTCCCTGTGGGAATATGGTCAACGCCTCACAGAGACTGCAGTTACACTGCAGCACAAGATGCTGTGCAGATGCTGGAAGAAAGAAGGGAGGTGAGAAAAGCAACATTAATTTATCTGAAAAATTATTAATTTATCTATTTTTATCACTTTTTCCATGCCACGTTATTTCAGCTCAAATTCTTATTTCTGCCTTCAGCCTGGCCATTGGGGCCAATACATTCCTCAATGCCACTACCACAGCCTATCCTTTTCTCTCTGCATGGTGCCTCCAGCTCTTATGTCCCTGTACTGATTTATCTATTCCTTTGAACTCCTACAGGTGCTTACTCTTCTCTGCAATCAGCCAGAAAGGATAAACACTAATTCTCAGTAACTGCATCCCTCTGATGTTCTCACAACATGCAGTCATTAAGATTAAAACCTCTTCAGTGTGCCTAATGTGGGAGAGGCTCACAGCATGTTAAATTGCAGAATTTATCCTGACTGGAATGCAAACTACTTTATCATTTGATATAGCAGCAGCTTGCTAACTTTGGCCACAGATATTAAAACTGTAAATAAAACTACATACATGGTAGTATTTTATAAGCTTGCAGCCCATAATTCTAACTCACATCAGAGGTTTTCTTCAGGGTCTCTACATTTCTAACATTTACCATTCTAGAAAAGGAAAAGCATTAACTTTCACATAGACTGCAGCTCTTAGGCTGTTCTTACTGAACAGCCTAAGGATCAGGGGAACAGCAGGTTTTCTGAAAGATAAATCAGACAACCAACCAAGAGGTGAATAACTCCCGTTACTCCCAAATGGAGAGTTCACATGCTTTGTAAGCTACAGAAGTCAGATGACAGACTGTTTGCTAGGGAACAAGTGTGACATCTGGATAACCGTGGTAAATCACTCTCTGTGGAGAGCCAGTCAATTCTTATATGACAACTAAACAGAGGGCTTTTCAATTCCAATTCCAATTCCCTCCTCTGTGCAGTGAAAGTCCTCCAGTATTGCTGTAAATCCTTACTGCTACCTGTGAAATGTCCTTGCCATCATTAGCTAGAACTATTCTATTTGCTTCTTTGCTTATTTGACTTTACCAATAAAGTCAAACTATAAGATAACTTACAGTTAGCCAAAAACTGCAGCAATCTAGCCACAAAATTAAAACACAAAGACAGAGAGCCCATAATTAATTTAATATTTCAGGTAACTATTAACAACATTGAATTTCATATCTGTACACCTGCAATCCTTCTTTAAGCATCAGCATCACCTTTGCCATTCATACCAGAGTAAGAATTTCTACTTTTCATACACAAACTCTTAACTGGGGATTTAAAGTATTTATTTTATAAAAATCTAAATCCAACCACCACACCTTATGACTTAATTTCTTTCTGCTCCACAGGTTTCAGGCGCTTTTTAATGATAAGCTCTCCCCTGGTTGTCAGAAAGGTGCTGGACAGTTCCTCTTCTGTTGGCAGCCCATGGGGTAGTTTCAGTGGCTGTATTCTACAGGCAAAAGAATCTGCTTAGTCAAGTCCTGTGACTAGAAGGGTCTTATATTAAATATTCCAAACAAACAAATAAATAAACAAATAGTTAACAAACCTTATCAGATGTTTAACAATTTTCAGTCTGGAATTCACAGAAGGGATATTTTTGTGCAGTCTTGGCTGATGTGCCTACATAAGGGATAAAACAAGTTTTACAGATGTCTTGCCAAATCCCAAATCTTTGTTCACTGAACTTTGCACACTACCAGTACAAAAATAAACCACACTTGCAAATGCAAGATTTACAGAAGTGCCATGCATCAAGAACATACATAAAAATACGCAATCAGAACTCGATTCCAGTAAAAAAAACAATTTCAGCTTTATTCCTACTTCACTATAAATGCTTTTTTCTTCCAACTGTTAGAAGTACTGAAAGTGTAAATACAAGAGCTTAGGGGTAAAACTGCTTTCTTCAGTTATAGCTTAAATTAATCAAGCACACATTTTTTTCTCTGTAATACAACACTGATTAGGCAAATCTTTGCATAATGTGCAGTTGGCCTGAAAAACTTGGATAAACACATATTTGACACAAACTTTTAGAGTCCTGAATTTGGATGCCTTTTCACTGATAAATGAATTTTATTTGCCTTGCTACAATTTGAGAGTAATTTGACACAGAGAGACCTGAATTCAAAGTATTTACAAACCTATTTCTATTATTTTAGAAGAATTCTGAGGGTAAAGTTCTCCTTGGACAATGCAGCACAATACCATAAAGAGGTATTCTGAATTCCCACTAAAAGCACATTTGTCACAAGCATTCCCCTCAGCTCTTAAACACGTCATCAACTTCTCAGATTGCTTTATGGCTGCTGTAAATGTAATTCTAATTTGTGACTGCAAAATGGAGGTCCTTATAATACCCACCACCTTAGTGCTACATTTCTGACATACACAAGTACAAAAAACAATCATACTTTATGCAGCCCCAGATCACGTATTATCTTCTTTTCCCAATATGGGCGACCAATGACACTTTTTATTCTAGTAATAACGTGGATTTTGTGGGGCTCCTCGGGGTCACCTCCATACTTTTCATGATCTCCAGGCCGTGGCTTAAATACCTAGAATATAAAGTTCACAAAACAGAGGTTTTTTCCCTAAATATCTGGTCATCAGTGCTGTCCAAAACATACTTCAACCTTGGTAAAAATTCTTACATAGTTTTCTTTTCAGGCAAAGCACCAACAAAGTGACCTCAAATTTAGCTGTTATAACATGAAGTCAAACATATTTCTGTAACAGTTTGCTAATAAGCATAGTAACTCCTGAGTTTAGCCACACAACGGCACAGAAATACATGGACAACACCCTGTACCAGCACAACACCTAATTCACATCCATTTTATCAGGGAGACTGTGCTCAGCCTCTCCATGGCAAGTTTTTCCACAGGCTTTATGAACGCTTTTAGGGAAAAGAGTCAACTGACACTAGATGGTATCTTGCGAAAATAAACTAAAACTAAAAATGTAAAAATGTAAAGTGCAAGTCAAGTACATACCGAGTCTGGAATATTCGACCTGGTAAAGAGACAACGAACCCACAGCGGGGACCCCATCCCCTCCATCCTCTTCCCCAGCACCTGCAAAGAGAGGATGGCATAACCCGTCTGCGCGTTCCTCAGAGCTGTGAACACTTGAAAGCAGAAGACACAGCTGGGTCCCAGCCCCACCTGGCTCCCCACCTTCGCAGCGGCCGCGGAGCCCCGAGTAGGATCCCCAGCTGGATCAGCCCCTACGAGATCCCGCGTGGATCCCCACTTTTCCGGAGGCTGCAAGCCTCATCCCCAGCCCAGATCTCTCCCTGGATCCCCCCCCGAATTCCCCACATCCCCCCTGCCCACCTTCCCAGCGCCGGCCAGCCCCAGGCCCGCCCGGCCCGCCGCGGCCGCCATCTTCGCGCGCTCCCTTCGTCCCGGCCGGACACGGTGCCTCGGCACTTCAGTTCCGGGCGGGCGGAAGGACAAAGGTGAGACACCTCCGCTCCGTTCCCCGCCCCGTCCCGTTCCCGTCGCCATCCCGGTTACCATCCCGGTTACCATCCCGGTTACCGTCCCCGTCCCGCTCCCTGTCCCTGTCCATGTCCATGTCGCGGGCGGGGAGCAGTGGCACTGCCGCGCTGGAGCGGGCCGGGGCGGAGACGGTGAAGCGGGCGGTGCAGCTGGACGTGGCGTGCCGGTTCCAGGAGTCGCTGGTGTGTTACCAGGAGGGCATCGACCTCCTGCTGCAGGTGGTGAAAGGTGCGGGCTCGGGCTGGCCCTGGGGACACGCGAGCAGGGCTGGAGC